ATGGTTGTGTGTTGCAGCAGCTCCTAAAACCTCGCTCAGCCCCTGTGTTTGTTCAGAGCTTGAACAGCCCCGTTTGTATGTAGGCATGTTTGTTAGAAACGTGTAGTAACTATTTCATCTTTTAACAGATTAAATTTTGAGTGTTCAGCTTGCATGGAAAACAGCTGCATAGTAAGTGATGTGCTTCAAGGAGCAAGGTGGGCAGGTTAAGGAGCTCTTTGTTGATCCCACAGAGGAGAAGAATGTTCTTAAAATGCACTTAAATCCAGCATGCATGTACTTAGGTAGTCGCAGAGTGGTCTCATCTAGCTGAGCTGGAGATAGGCTGATGTGCATTTTCAGGCAGGAAGCCTGGGTTTGGGATAGACCGTGCCATGATGGCTTCTTGGGCCCTTTCCAACCCAACCCATTCTATGAGCTCCTTGCAGAACACATCACCAACAGAACCAGCCAGCCACATAGCCAGGCCTGCCATCTTAGATCAGAGCTACGTAATTTAGTGCAGGTTATTTAATTAGGGCTATGCCCTGTGACCTTACCACGTGGTAGGTGATGAGCTAAGGCAACGTGAGGGCAAGCAACACTGTTGGCCAAGTGCTCAGGAAGGCAGCCATGGTCAGTAGGTTGATCTCTTGGTGTTGTTTCCAAATCTCCTGTTCTGTTGTCTCCAGATGTGCTGTCGTGTTGCCTCCAAACCCCAGTGAGCATCTCAGAGCTGTGTGCCAACCCCTGTCCTCTCACTCGTGTGCTCCTCGCAACGCTCCCATTACGTTCCTTTGCAGCAGCCCAGCGTAACAGTAATCCTTTCCCTCTATAAAAGAGGATTAAAAATGGGAACATTCGTACCTTAATTCAGCCTGCCAGGGCTGTGCTCTGTCTTTTGGGCAGTAATCCTGTCGGTAAAGGGCCGTCAGCAAACAGCAGATCCTCCGGTCCTGCTGCTGATGGGGTTAGCAATTCTTCAAATTAATTAAAAAGCTGTAGCAACTAGAGAAGAGCAACTCGCTTAGAATGTCTTAAAGGCCACATGGTTCAGAGTAAAATAATTAGAAATTGGGATTTCCATGGTTCTTGAAATGAAAGTGTGCAAATGGACATAATGGTTCCTTTGAGGACGCTGTTTGTCAGATGCTTTGCTGTCCACATTCCGCTTACATGCTCAATAAACAGGTGTGAAATCCCATTTGTTTCTTTTCCAGGCTTTCTGTGTTTTACTGCAGCTCTTTTGGGTGAGATGCTGATGAGGAAGGCACAGTAAAAACATGGGTTTGCTTTTCTAGGGTATTTTTTTTTTTTAGGATTTTTATGCTGCGACTGTTAGCACAGGGATTATTTTTCCAGCCTAATTAAAAGGATAATTGCATTAAGCCACAGGAGGACGCTGTGGGATGACAAGAGGTGGATTTCAGTCCCTCCTAGGGCTTGAGTTACTGTTTCTGCCAGTGCAGGACCACAGCCAATTCTCTCCACCAGTGCCAGAACAATGGGATTTTTGCATTTCAATGTGTGTTTTCAACAAGTTGGGGTAATAATAAAGATACAAATCAATGTTGCTGCTGATGGATGCATCGTTTCCTTATCAAACCCACATAACTAATTCCATCGAGACACATCGTTGCACGGGCATGGCATCGAACCCTATCTAAAGCTGAATGTGTGAATAATATTTAACCTGGGAGAGCTGTCAGCAGGTTGGATGCTACACAGAGACTTCCAGCAGGAGTCCAAGGCTTTGTTTTGCATCCCCCTAAGAAAAGCCAGGTCTTGGTATTGCTTGGCTGTGGCAATGACAGGAGATGGAGCTGGGACCCATCCAAAATGGGTCAAAACGTGGCTACTGTGGTCTGCGATGAGGGCTGATCAGCAGCAGTAGTTTAAGGCATGATTGCAATTGTCCTTGTGGAAATCTCAGTGCGTGAGGTTCATTCTTCCACCATTGAAACCTGCTGATGAGATTCTCACGGGATGAGGAAGCACCTCTGCTTTGAAAAATGCATAGAGAGCTTTATGCCAGAACAGCAAAACACAGTGGGAGACCATTTCAGATGCAGAATTCCCCTCAAGTAGGAGTAGGAAATTTATTTTATCAGTAGGTGGTGAGTGATTAATTTCCCCTTGGACCACTTTTCACTTAGGAATTATTCCAGGCCGTCTTTGCAGGGAGCTGGGAATTCACTGAAACCTACAGCACCAGTGGAAAATAGGTTTTAAAATCAAACAACCTGCTGTGGTAAGTACATAGGACTTACACAGGACAAGTGCTTTCTGATCTCATCCTTTAGAAAAGTTGCAAGCAAGCTCCTGAGCAGTGCTGGGCAGCAGTACCACTTCATCACAGCTCCTGCAAGCAATCCTTGTGCAAGACGGGGAAGGAGAAAGGTGGAGCACCAGTGGTCTATGTGCTGATGGGGAAGCCCATTTCCTAGCAGGGGTGCTGGTGCATGTGGCTGGAAACTAGCACAGCACTGCAAGAAGAAGAGCCAGCAGCACTGCTGCATGGGGTTTAACACAGCCAGATCACAGCAACCCCCGAGAACAAAGGTGCCAGTGTGATGGTGGTGGTTTCATGCAAAGCAAGTGACTTATTTACAGGGCAGGCTTGAATCCATTAAAGGCACATTAAACTCCAGATGCTCACCATCTTTACAGAAGCAGTGGAAGAAAGAGAGGAGGTGTTGCACACTTTTTTGGAAGAAAAAAAAAAAAAAATCAGCTCTCTGAGCTTGGAGCAGCATTTATTGCAGTTAAAAGCGTGATGCTGGAATAGTGAGACATTTAATGATGTTTTCCCTTTTCAAAGCTGGTTTTCAGACTAAACTGCGTCGTGCCAGACAGTGCTGTGCGATGTGCTGTTCTGTGCAGGATGCTCGACGTTGGGTCTGCAGCACAGGGATCAAGCAGAAAATGGAAAAGGGGAAACCAGGAGCGTTTCCATTCCTTTGGAACTAATAAGGAAATGAGCCGGAGGGATTATTTGCAGCTATGCCAAATGGGCCCTCTCTCTAAGACCTCTAAATTAACTTCAGGTGGGTCCATCACCACCCAGCAGTCTGAGTTATGTTTTATGGAAGAAGCAGTGCTCCCAGCACTGTGCCTCAATACCTTTATGGGCTGCTGCACCTCAGTTTTCTGCCTCTTATCATTTCTCAATCCTTGCTTATTCCATACGGAAAGCGGAGCTGCTGCGGTGTCAGTGCCCAACTGGGGCCTCGATCTTCTCCAAAACCTTCACCTAGGAGACATTTTGGTGATAGCAAAGAGCGTTCACTTGAAGAAAAGACAGAATTTTTTTATGAAGAAGTGAGTTTTGAAAGGAGAAACCTCCACCCAAAATGTCCAAGCAGAAGAAAAACCTGAAAATACAGAATTTGGAGTTACAACCCATACAGTGTGTGTCTCAGCCCTTGTCTTTCAGTCTTCATTCACGTGGTCCATGCTTTGCGTCCATATAGAAATTATTGAAACATCCCAAGATGTTTTTCCTTCTGTTTTTTTTCCTGTGTGGACATCTCATCGTTGTCTCAGTTTGAAGCACTCATGAAGCACCAACTGTCATGAGTTGGTGGTAGAAGAGTTCCTCCAGTGGGGCTTTGTGTCGGTGTGGCTACTTCTACTCACACCACAGATGACGCTGAGTAGACACGAGCTCCATTTTCAACCACATGTCTTTGAGTTAAGCATAGAATTTACAGTTTTTGCGCTCCTTTTCTGTTGTTTTCTGCTGTTTCAGTGGTCAAGTTTTGCTATTTTGGGTTGCTTTTCTCCTTCCAGCTCTGGTGTCAGCAGCGCATTAAAGGAGCCTCCGTCACAACCACAAGGCAACTGCACTGCATGCTGAGGTGACTTTATCCTCATTTCTCTGTCTTCAAGCATTTTAAATGATTTTTAAAATACTTTTGGCTCTCATCCAAGGCTTCAGGACTGAGCCACACTCTCCACAAGCATCGTCATGGCATCAGGATTTCCTTGCACCTGAAGTTGTTCAGGTTGATAAAGCACAAGAGGAATTAAGTGCTTGTTTTCTGGAATGAGGAATGTTCATTTCTGAAATGAATCGAGAACATTTTCTTTCCTTTCATGCTCTGTGCAATAATCCCTTTTCCAGTCCATCAGATCCATGGCGGAGCTGCTTTGGGTGGCTCTTCGGTGGCTCTTCGGATGGTTCTTCCTCTGTGCTCCACAGCCTGATTTCTACCAGGAATCCTGCAGGAATAACATGAAAAAATGGATAATACAAATAATTACCCAAACTTTCAACGCACAGCTATAAGGCTTTTGCCCTCCAGGTGCTGGAGACGTTTGGGAATTTTCCAGAAGTCAAATGTGCAGACATGGAACGAGTGCAGAAGTTGGAAAAGAAGAAAATTGGCGTTGAGTGAAGTCAGTTAGTGGGTCAAACTGGAATTAATCCAAGTTACAATGTGGAAATGAGTTACTGAAGCTTGTAGTGTTGGGTTATGCACAACTGGGCAGACTCCCCATCCGCTGGAGAGTAAGTCCTGGTTTGTGGTAGATGTGTAGTAGTTTCTTGCCCTTTTCCCAGCTTCTCTTTACTTTTATAAGCCTGGAATGATGAAGATGAGGGTGCAGAAAGGGCAGATCCAGGTTCTGCTTGGTGGTGGAAGCGCAATGTGTGCCTGTAAAAATGAGAGCAAATGCCCACACGTGCCTGTCTGCTCTTTTTGGGCACCCTTGTGTTGATGTTGGTCACCCAGCTGCTTGTTTGCCCACTTAGGAATGCATGGCCCATAGGTTCTGTCTGTATTGCCCTGGTTCAAGCATTTTTCCTCCTAAAGAAAGCAGTGTCAGAAGCATCACTCATTTTGCAGTCTGGTTTCCTGGGGAGCTGAGTGGTGGCTACACTTTGTCACATATATTCTGGTAGTATTTTTTTTTATGAGGGTAAACACTTCTTTATTTCAATGGAAAGCACTTTATGTTGTATGGCAACTTTATGTTGTTTACAACTTTATGTTGTGTACAACTTTATGTTGTAAGTTCATTAGAAGAAGATTATACTGGCTCTGTTTCCAACCAACATATTTCATGTTGCTTCAATGCATCTTGGCATCTCAAACCCTTCCTTACTGGAGGTATTTGAATTGGTCTCCTTTGGGCGGTTCTAACATCACAGTGACTTGTAAGGAGGGCTGAATAACACCTGGTTCCATTGTGAGCTGGATTGTGAATGGGAAAGGTGGTTGGAGCTTTAACCTCCATAGGGTTGTAATGGTCTCACAACTGCATTTCAGCATTTTGGAGCTCCCCTAGTGCATGCCTAGCTAGGAAACAGCCTCAACTCATCTGTTGGGAGCCCAAGTTGAGTTTAATTTCCATCCGTACAGTTTAAGAACACTTAGGGCTTCTCTTAGTGCTTCCCAGGCAAGAAACTCACTTTTCTGGATAGGAGATGGCCAAAATAAGAGTCAGCTCCACCATGAAGTTGGTAGCTCTTAGTGAAGCCATTTGTTTTGTGATTCTCATTGTTAAAAGCATAGGAGAGAAACCAGATTGGGCTTGGCGTATTTGGCGTTTTGGGAAGTTCAGTACCACTTTTGGAAAGGTCTAGCTGGATTTCTTTGTATTGGGAATTGAGAAACCATTCCCAAATGCCTAGGTTGGAGTTAGCTTAGGAGGACAAAGGCTGCTGCAAAAAGAACCATCACTGTGCGATCCCATACATGGAGCAAACCCATCCTAAAGCCCTGGACCTGCTGGCTGGAAGTTGTCCATTGAGCAAGGGGATGTGACTGCCTGCAGCCATTTTGGTAATAATGGTGGTATTTGGAAACTTATTTGCATGATAGTGGGTTTTTGCTTGGCTCATCCTAAGTCTCCTGTCAGTATTTTCCTCTATGAACTTCTCATCTCCGTTCAACTGTTTGTGCCTCTGGCATTTGAGCAGGAAGCTTTCCCTTAGTGCTGTCCAGGGAATATTCTCCCTGCATTTGAGATGCAGCTTTTGTTTCCCATTAAAAGAAAATAAATAAATAATAGCTGTGCTTGAGTCAAATGTGAAAAATGATTTTGAAAGGGGAAAAATGATTCTGAGTGTTTGGAGGATGGAATTCGCTAAAAGAATTGATTTGCTGGTTGTGGTGTCTTCAAGATGAAGCTGCCTTTGAGAGAGCTACTTTATAAATGCCCTTAGTGTTCAGTACACAATGTTGTTGGTACTTCTTCCTGTGGCCTTGGATGTGCCTTGCCCTTCTTCCTCTCTCAAAATCAGGACGAAACTCAGGTCATCTCCACCTGCCTTCCACCACACCTCCTGTCCTCAGTTTGAGGTGCTTTTCCTTCTCCTTTCTTTCCACTGAGCATCCTACGTTTGTAGTCATTCCTCTTGCAATCTCTCAAGTACTTGTCCTTGGTTGGTTTGGCCAAGATAACTTTGGCCATGAGTTCTTTCTCCTGGCATGGATCTCACTGTCCCATTTTTCCTGCGTGGTTGGTCCTGATGATGTCATTTTTGGACTCACCATCAGCCTGATGACTGTTTTGTCACAGTGGCTGTCATGCTGATCATTTGCTAAGCGTTGTGTATTTCTGGCAGGATATATATGATAAAAGTTATGGGAAGCTTTGGAAGAGCAGAGCTGCGTGTTGGCACGCTGTGGTTGAGTTGATGGTGCAGTGCACCGTGCCAGGTCTGTGCTCCTGGCTCTCTCCTCCTGAAAAGCTGAACAGATTTCTATGGAGAGGGTGTGGTAAAGAGCTTTTAATGCCATGGAATTTGACCCCGTTATTATGGCCACAAGGTCCTCTGGTATGTGATGTAACAGTTTGTGATGTGCTGGTGCTTTCCCACCAGTGTACAATAGATACCCACTCACAATACCTGAGCATCTTCTGCTCATATTTATGTTCATGCTGCATGCTCTGGTGCCCTGCTGACTGTGTGAGCTGCTGCTCTGCTCAGTGGTTTAGCACTTGGCTACATTAAATAAATATGCTTTACATAATGCTTATGCTTAGGTTGTAATGATTTTGCCCACTTCCGGACTCTGGGCAAATAATGCAGCAAAAGTCATCTCCAGAACACAACTTGCTACCAGTAAAGCTCTGTACTGTCATTGTAATGCACGTCCTGGGATGTTGAGGTTGGATTATGTATTGCTCTTGAGCATCTTCCCTTGGTGTCAAAGTGGCAGAAATAAGCTCCGGCTTGGGAATGCCAGGTGAGTGAAGACCTTTCCTCCAGCAATGGTGCCTGCTTCTGGTGCTGTGCTGTGTAGTTGGGAAATAGGATTTTTCAGAACCTCTTCTGCCTCCTGTATTAGTAATGTCCCTCCTGTGGAAGTCCACTAGGGGAGGTAACCTCTGTTCCTTCCTGCTCACCCAGCTGGCTTCACCTGCTGTTCTCCTTATTTATGGCACACGTATCCCTAACACCCACTCTGATTTTTCTCTCCCTTCCAGTACCTATTGATGGAAGAACACGGCGTCACTCAAACAGAACACATGGCCACCATCGAGGCCCACGCAGTGGCCCAGCAGGTGCAGCAGGTCCACGTGGCCACCTACACAGAGCACAGCATGCTGAGCGCCGACGAGGACTCGCCTTCTTCACCTGAGGACACGTCCTATGATGACTCTGACATCCTCAACTCCACAGCAGCCGACGAGGTGACGGCCCACCTGGCTGCAGCAGGTAAAGCAACAGGGTGCTCAGCATCCTTCTCATGACCAACTGTTCATACTGACGTCACCATCTGGGCCCGGGGGTGTCCAAGTGGTCCTTTCGCTCCCTTGGGATGCTGTGAATACTTTCTTCTTGGCTTTGGTTTTAAGTAAGGCTTTAAGATCCCTTCCAACCCAACTCAACCCCATCATGGTTCTGTGACCCTTAAGAACCCTTCCAACCTAGCCATACCATAACTCCATGATGTATAAGGACCCTTCCAACCCAACCATATCATGATTCTGTGATCCTCAAGGACCCTTCCAACCCAATAACCCATTCCATAGTCTTTAATGTCCCTTCCAACCCAACCCATTCTGGGATTTTATGATCTTTAAGGCTCATTCCAACCCAAGCCATTCTATCTATGGAATGAAGAACTGTTTCAGGATCACAAACCCCTTCCAGTAAACCCCTGCCACATGTCCTTAAAATTTGCCTTGAAGTGGGTCTACCTCTCTAGTAGAAGAAAGCAATGATAATCGATAAATAAGCACTCACAAACTGATCTGGCTCCTTATTTGTGGAATAAAGCTCCTGACCTGCTTGTCAGAAGTTGTGCAAAGCAGCTCAATATCGGCGCTTATAGATGCGGTGAGCGTCCCTGCTAAACATGCTGAGCAGTCAACCCTTGCTACAGACAGCTTGCAGTTGGAAGTGAGGACATGCCAACAGGTTGCCTTAACAAAAAGGTAAAATCTTCAGGAGTTTCTATAGAGAGTGGTGAAAAGGCAACTGCTCCTGGATAAATATTTCTGGATATGTACGGTATGAAAGGAGGAGGAGGATTGTGTGCCCAACGTTAGTTGTTGGAATAAGTATTAATGGAGAAGAGATAGTTGTGTAGAGGTTACTGCCAATGGCTTCAAGCTTATATAGAAGGAAAAATGATAGTGAACAAATGGGGAGAAACAGGTAAAGATGTGGTTCAGGTTGAGGTTGGAAGGCTGCAGTGGTCACATACTTGCTTGTTGAATCCAAGTGGTGTGAGGACCTGCTGGCCATGTGTGATAGCTTGCTGTATATCCTGTGTCCTAAAACATTTAAATGAGTTAATCATGATGATCTGCCATCCCAGGTGAAATAAACTGAGAGTTAACACAAAAAATATCCCTGTATCTGGTGGTTCCCCAAATGTGTATTTGAGTCATGGGCTATGAGCCTACCATCTCCTGCGGTCAAGAGCAGGGCTGGGCTGGGTCCTGGCTTCTTCTCAGCTTTATTCTCCTAGAGAACAGCCTGAAACACAGATGCGAAATCTACTTGAGTGGCAGTGTTCAAAAGTAGTCTTTCACTATGCTTGATCACTCTTGGAGCTCTTGTATGCCTGCACATTGACTCTCAGAGCTTCATGGTCCTGAACACCATCCCACTGAGCATTCCACCACTGCACTGAACATTCCACTGCTTTGCTTATTATTTTTGCAGCCTCAACTCCTGCAGGATTTTCCTTTTCTTTACCAGCACCCTGGTGGGCAGTTGCAGGAGAATCTCACTCAAAGGGAACCCCAGGTATCCCCCAGTCCCTAGCTGCACTTCCCATGCCTCCCGTTCTTCCCCATACCCAAAACTTGGGGACAGTGCAGCTTTTCTGCCTAAATTGGCTCTCAATATTTAAAATAAATTAGGGTTTCCTGCTCCTGTATCTGCACCTTTGTTAAACACAAAGCTTTGGGGTCACCTGATGTGGCCTTTCACCTCTGACACGTGGAGAAACGATGGGACTCTGGGCAGTCTGATGTGGTGGTGGGCAACTAAGCCCCTAGCAGGTGTTGGGGCTAGGGGGGGCTTTGAGGTCCCTTCCAATACAACCATTCTCTAATTCTATGACCTTTAAGGTCCCTCCCCACCCAAGTCATTCTGTGATTCTACGATCTGTATGGTCCTTTCCAACCCAGCCATTCCGTGATTTTATGATCATTAAGATCCCTTCCAGCCCAACCGTTCCATCATTCTGAGATCTTTACCACCCATTCCAACCTAAGCCATTCATTCCATGTCTGGAACTGTGCTGGTTCACTTCACTGTGGTTTCGTTTCCAGGTCCTGTGGGGATGGCAGCAGCTGCTGCTGTGGCAACGGGTAAGAAACGGAAGCGACCACACGTTTTTGAATCCAACCCATCCATCCGTAAGAGGCAGCAGACACGTTTGCTACGGTAAGGACTCCTTCTGCACCCTTGACACCTTGGCCTACCTCTTCCACCCCTCTCAGTGGTATTTGTGAGCTGTTCAGAGCCTGCCCAACTCGAGATGTTGCTGGGCATCATTTCTGGGAGCCCACATGCAGTATTTTAATATTCAGGAATGGGTCAAAGTGTTGCTTTGGTTCAATCCATCACGGTTACATTGCCTTCCAAGGCCTTTCCAGTGACTTTACAGCTTGTCCTGAGAGCTACAGCCACCTCCTAGCTCTGAGGATGTATCTGCAGAGTGAAGAATGCCCCTGTTTTTTTGCATTATGATATAATTTTTCGGAGTGCCTCTGAGCATCTCTGCCCACGTGATGGCCACCAAGGAGCTCTGGTCCTGCAGGGTGTTGCGCAAACCTCTGATGATCACTGCAATGCCGACTTTAGGAACCCTTTCTAAACGTTGACTGCTGCCTTTTAGAACATTTTGGAGCACACCAATTTTTGCTTTTTAAGCTATTCTGACCTCAGTTAGATTATATGAAAGAAGCTGAGGTTTGTCACCCTGTTCTGCTTGCTGACTTCATCCTGCACACAGTTCGTGCACAGAGGCAGTGAATTCAGTGTCACCTTTTCTTTCCTCTGCTTCAAACTCATGGAGGGCTGGTGAGAAACTAAACTGGTTTCCTTACACTGTGTTTATTCACCTGCTAAGTCCTGTAACACCCTTTGCACGTGACAAAAGTGGAAAGAAATGAAGCAGGTTTGGTGTTAAACAGTGCTTCCTGGGAGTAGGTTCCTTTTCTTTTATAGCCTCATTCTGTTTTTCTCTCCTCCCTGTGACTCAGCCACATGTTTACAGCATTTGCGAAGAGCAGATTTCTTTCTCCTTTGATATATGAACAACATAGTTTAAAGAAACTCCTCTGTAAAGGAATTACTTCTCCTCTTCTGCAACTGCTTCTTTTGTGATGTGTAAAATACTGACAGAATGCATCATTTTTGTACCTCTGATCAATTTAACAGCTCTAAGCAGCAGCGTGCATCGAGTGGGAAGCTGGTTTCTGATTCTGAGATCACATGGTGGTGGTGCTTTTTTGGCACTGTGCTGCCATCAGCAGGTTCTGAAATGACCAGGACAGATCCTAAAATGTCCTCTTATGGCTGTGCTCAGGTTACACAGTGGTACTGCTCCTCTTTTGCTTAATGAGCTGAAGTTCCTGACACATTCTCTTGCGTTGCTTGGAAGTTAGTAAGAGGAGGAAGGTCTATGAAGGAACATTTTCTTCCTACAGAGAGCTCATTCCAAGGGGACTTGCTGATGGGGCAGGTGCATGTGAGCTCCCTGTGCTCTGCTGGTGCAACATTCCTTGCTCTTGCCTCGTTGTGGAGCCAACAGCTCTGGTTGGGGTAGCAGAGATTTGCAATGTGATGCTATGAAGCCAAATGTAAAATAAGCTGTGTTTTCTGAAATATTCTTGAAATAGTCAAATTCTTCTCCTACAAGTTCTGTATCCTCTTGGCCAGTGACAGAATTAAGGACAGCAGGAGATGCACATTAGCTTTGTTGCTCTGCTGATTTCTCTTTCCATTGTGCATCAATGGGAAAAAAAACGAAGAACAGGAGAATAGCTGATATTTGAGCTGCTCTGTGACTGCGGGGAGCACAGCAGGGAAGCACTGTGTGGCCAATCTGACAGCTGGGGCTCTGCTGCTCACCTGGTTTGTGAATGGGATGCATCCAAAAAGGAAGCTGACAATGGGAAGGGTTGTGTTTCTGCAGGGCTCTCAGCTGACGCCTGTTTGTTGGTTGTGTTTCAGGAAGCTCCGTGCCACGCTGGATGAGTACACCACCAGAGTGGGGCAGCAAGCCATCGTCCTGTGCATCTCACCCTCCAAACCCAACCCTGTCTTCAAAGTTTTTGGAGCTGCACCTTTGGAGAACGTGGTAGGTGTCTCTAGAAAAAGCCATACAATAAATTGCTCACCCTGTTTGCAGGTTTAATTCTGGCTCAGAGCAGACTTGCAAGCCTGGCCGTGATCTGAAGGCCATGTTTAAGGCCCTGGAAATAGGGGTTCAGTGTATGAATGTGAGTTTAGCACTGAGTTCCTGCCTTCTCTGCATAGTTTTTGCTTGTTCAGCACAACTCCCCAGGGCTAATAGCCTCAATTAAAAGTGCAGGTAATGATGGATGTCTTTGAGCACAGCATGCATCTTACCACAAACCAGCCAGCAAATGGAACAGATCCTGACTATAATAAGTCTGACTTCTGAACTTAACTTTGATCCCACAAATCCTTCCACTTGATGATGTTACCCAACATTTCATCATCACCCTTTCAATGCAGCCAAGCCTTTGGGGCCGGCAGGTGTTTTTGCACAGCATTGTTTGCTCTTTCATCTCCCCAGTGCCCTGGGGAAGGCTGCTGGCCCTGCTGCTCACCTCTCCTCTCCTGTTGCTCCTCACCTTGTTTACCTGAGCTTAACAATTCCCTACAGGTACGCAAATACAAGAGCATGATTCTGGAAGACCTGGAGTCAGCACTGGCAGAGCATGCTCCTGCACCTCAGGAGGTTAACTCAGAGTTACCACCCCTCACCATTGATGGCATTCCAGTCTCAGTGGACAAGATGACCCAGGTAAGCACAGGCATGGCAGAAATTTAGCAGAACCAGAGAGAGATGTGGCATCCTATGGTCACATCCTGTTATTCTGTACCGGAGTTTGTGTCTGCATCTCTCCAGGGGATGTACTTGATTTCTTCTTTCTTTCCCATGGGATGTGATGGCTCTAGTTAGATGTGAAGCTTTGTTATTGCTGCTTATTTTCTGCATACAGCAGCAGAGGTGTTTCTCAGAGCTGGGAGCTGTAGGGAGCACTCCTCTTCACAGAAGAATTGCTTGGGTTGGAAAGCACCTCAAGGACCACGAAGCTCCAACTCCCCTGCCACAGGCAGGGCCACCAACTCCACGTTTTATACCAGCCCAGGCTGCCCGGGGCCCCATCCAACCTGGCCTTGAACACCTCCAGGGATGGACGGGGCATCACAGCCTCTCTGGGCAGATGTTCCAGCACCTCACCTCTCTCATTGTAAAGAACTTCCCCCTGACATTCAAGCTAAATCCTTCTTCCTTCAACTTCAAACCATTTCCCCTTGTCCTGCCGTCATCTATCCACCCTTTCAAGGAGTAGACTCTCTTCTTTGTGCTTTTTTTCTGGCCTCCCATACACCATGAACAGGGGATGCATTTTGTCTTGCAGATTGCAGTGATTTTTGAGCCTTGAGGTCAGGGAGGTGGCTTCTGCTGTACCATTTTGGATCATCTTTCTTGGCTGTTTCTTGTGTGTTCTAGATTATCCCCTCATTTTTCTGCCTAAACAGAGGGGGGCTTGCCAGTTATTTAGAGTCACATCAAACCTTGGGTGAGATACTGATGGGGACTGCCCTGGAGAAGTGGGGACTGCCCTTCTGTCCAGGTCCAGCCTTTTGTTGATTTTATTTTTATTATAAAGTTGGAAATTAAAAATTTTAACATCAAGAGTTGCTTAAGTTTTTCTCTGCTTCTCTTCAAGTGAAGCAACCTTTCCTCCAAAGGTCTATGAGAAAAATACTAATACTTCTCATGTTAGGTTAAAAATTAGGTTTTTCCTTTCAAGCATGACGTGTCCTTGGTCTTCAGGAAACACTGCACAAAGATTTAGCCAAGCCAAGGTGCCCCTGGGGTTTGCTTGCTTCCCCCACCCAACACTGTGTGTTCCCATCCTTCTCTTGGCTCACTTAAGTGATAAATGCTTTCACTTCCTTTCTTCCCCATTCATGTTTTGCAGGGAAAAAATGTGCCAATTGCTGATGCAACTGCACAGGAACATGGGGCTGCTTAATGCTGCATGAGCTGTGGTAAAGCAAGTCTTGTGTTCGGAATAACTCTCCTTTTTTCAGTACAACATGATCACCCAGAATAGCTTTGTGAAGGTTTTTCCCAAGCTGTGGACAGTTTGTGCTCTTCACATCCATCATTGCAGTGCTTTATGTGCATATTATGAGCTGGTACTGAAGTCCAACCCTTCTCCTGGGATTCTGGAGACAACACTCAGCCTCAGTTTCCCTGTATATCACATAGGGATGACATACTGTAGGTGTTCTCTTAACATTTTAGAGCTCTGCATGCCTGGAGGCCATCTGAGGACAGAACTGACTGCACTGCAGCCTCCTTTAGTGGATTCTCACAACCCAGGAGGTGTTCCTCCTTGCAGAATTTTCAGGGAGTAATTATGGTGCATGTGATGGTTATGAGGTAATTTCATCCAAGGAGTATAGTTTTTGCCAAACTCTTAAATAGAAGCACAAAGCAGATATGCTGAATACGATGAGGCTGCTGTCATTTTTGTGCCACAGTAGCACAAAATACATTACTTTGAGAGAGTGGGTGATAACACTGAACTGCTAAATCACTGCAACATGTTGCATGGCTGGAGATGCTGTTGCTTTTTGTGGGAATTCTGATTCCCAGAGCTGCTGATACAATTCCATTCACTGTTAGCAGTTAGAGAGCTTTTCAACCAAGCAGCACAGAACCCTATGGAAACACAAAGCCTTGTGGAAACCTGAAATATTTGTAAGTACAGATGGAGCAGCAACATGAAGAGATGTGACTATGGGAGATGCAGGTGCCTGCACACAGGTGATAGAGGCAACAGCTCCTCAAAGGGGAGGGTGAAAATCTCTCTCCTTTTAATTGCCCTGCTTCCTTGTTGGTCTAGAGGGAAATAAAGGCTGAGCAGGGCTGCTCTGAGCAAAGAGCATCACTCACTTCAGCTGTGCAGGAGATAGGAATGGCTTTGGAACTCTGACCCTGGATCTGTTGCATAGAAATGTCTCCTTGCTTGTGGACTCTGCTGAGCTGATGCTCTGCCAGAGCTATACATGTGCAATGAGGAAATGCCTGATTCTGCTGTCTTGAGTGGAGCTCCTGCAGCTGGGATGATTTGTAGTCCCACAGCTCCCTGCTTGGAGCTCCTTATTACAACCTTGATGTATGCCTTGCTTTTCAATCTCTATGTTAGAAGTAAAATAGTCTAAAGTTGGCTGTTGAAAAGCAGCTGCAGTTCTTTCTTTGCCCTCTTCCACTCTCAGGAGTCCCATGTGCTGCTCTTTGGAGATACGTGGGGCCAAGAGAAGACTCCCAGCCACAGTTTTTTTGCCCTTTGGAAACCTAATCAAGGCATTATCCTTAAGCCCTGGACGCTCCTCACACAGCACTTGTCTGTGCTGTGTACCATTTCAGATGATAGAATTGAGGTTAGTTTGCTTCCACTGATACTTGGACTACATCTCCAGTGGTCCCTATGATTCTCTGATCAAATTCAATATTAAAACTGAGAAGACCAAAGGGTGTTAAGGAGACATTTCTGTCAATTTCTCTCAAATTTTCGAAGCTGGAGGTTTATAAAAGCCTTTCCCAGAGCTGACACCAGGGTGAGCTGTGGTCTTTTTGGGGAGAGCTTTGCTTGTTTGGTGGATGTTTCACGGGTGGAGGCAGCAGAATGTGGTTCCCACAGATCCTGCTGGCTGCACCCCTGGAGATGTGGAGTCTTTGTCTCAGAAGTGCTGGGATGAGGTCTCGTTATGGCACTAATTAGAGCCATCCTAGTGCTGGAGCAGCTGATTGTCTCCCTGGTGGATTAAAGGCAAGCCCTCCTAACAAGTGCCTCGAGCTGCTGAACTCCCCAGGATGAGTAATTAATCCATCTGTTAACAAGGAGCATGGCTTGCAGATAGCAGTTGTGGGAAGGAGCTTTTAACTATTTTTGCACCAGGCAACCCACTGCCCTTAGCAGGTATGCAATGCAGTGAGCCATGTGCTCGGAGAAGTTGGTTTTTCTTTTTTCTTTTTCATCCAAGTACGCTAAAATTTGTCTTGTTAAGTAAGCTCAGAGCCCATGTTAATTCTTGTGGCAGAACTCTTCCTGCTCTGTGTTCCTGCAGAACTCACAGAACCATAGAATATCCCAATGGAAGGGGATCCATAGGGTTCATCGAGTCCATCTTCTGGCTCCCACAGATCCCTGCTGTCGTGCAGGAGGCAGCATCTGAATGAGCTGGTTTACAATTTCAAGCCAACAGTACCCAGACTGGAACCAGGCTGTGGTTAGGATGGTTTGGAGAAACCCCCCTGCTATGGCAGAACATGTGAGAAGCCCTCCAGAAATGACAAAAGGACTCCCAGGGACACTGTCGCATCAGGAATGTTTTATTGTTGTTGATTATTCCAGCATTATTCTGACTTTTCCCCCCCTTCAGATCTCTTCGTGATGGTTCTTGAACCTTAAAGTGTGTCGATGCGGTGTCTTAACACAGTGTGTGTCTTGCCTTATTGCTCTAGTTGGCTTAATTTTGGTTTTGCTCTTCCATATTTTGTCTCTAAGCTCTTCTCTGCTGAGATTTGGGAGAAGATGGTGAAGTTTTGTACGTTTTCCTTGGGCATTCAGTTCTTCTCCGGTCCATAGTTCCATCAGGATGGAAACAAAATGCCGTGACTTTGTGCTACCAGATGATGGGAGTGCCTAAAAACCCTCTGATGTGTTTTGTTTCAGGCACAGCTGCGAGCGTTCATCCCGGAGATGCTGAAGTATTCCACGGGTCGTGGGAAGCCAGGCTGGGGCAAGGAGAGCTGCAAACCCATTTGGTGGCCTGAGGACATTCCCTGGGCCAACGTCCGAAGTGATGTGCGCACGGATGAGCAGAAGCAGCGGGTGCGTGGCTGTGTGTCTGCCTTCATGCTGGGCCAGGACCACTCTGCTCTCCAAACGTGCACTTGGTTTGCTGTAGTGTCTGTGTCGTGGCATCATGAAGCCCTTGAAGGCTCTCTGTCCCCATCCTGAGCAGGAGGGGCCTCTACATCAAGGGAAGTGCTCAAAGATACGGAGCCAGGAAAAAAGAGATAGCAGGTGAAAAGGTCTTTGAGGGTATCACAGCAACAGATCCTGTGTGCAGGTGATGTTTCTACCAACCTGTTCCTGTCAGTGTAATCTGCTATGGTGTGCACGTCTGTAGGCTGATGTGAGCTGGTTGGGTGGGGATGAATGTCTGGAAATGGCAGCTGTGAGTGGTTTTCTACTTGGTCAGTCCCTTAATTGAAGATTCCTTGAAAGTTAGAGAAACAGATGTAATTGAGAAACTTGCCCTTTCCCGTGGCCAAAGGAGCTTGTTATGTGTCTGTATACAGAAATGTAGTAGCACAGTGTGATTTCTGAATCTTGGGGATGAAGGGAGAGTGATTGATTAAATACCAGAAACCTTCTGTTTCTTTGAGAATTTATTGAAAAACATCCATCAAGACCCTCCCCCCCCCAAAAAGGAAAACACACAAAAGCAATAACAGCACTGCAGTGGGTCAGAAAAGATTTTCACATTGATTCTTTGCTCCTTGTGATCCTGGCAGGTGTCATGGACCCAAGCACTGAGGACTATCGTGAAGAACTGCTACAAGCAGCATGGGCGTGAGGACTTGCTCTATGCATTTGAGGATCAGCAGACACAGCAACAGACCACAACCACACACAGTATAGCACACCTGGTGCCCTCGCAGACAGTGGTACAAACCTTCAGTAACCCTGATGGCACTGTGTCCCTCATCCAGGTGAGTGAAATCCTCATCTCTTCAGTCCTCCATTGGGCTCCCTCTAGCAGCTCCCTGTCTGCCTGGAACTGGGGAGCAGAGGGGAGGAGAACCTCCCTGTCCTGCTGGCCACGCTCTGTGCAATGAACCCCAGGAAACCATTGGCCTTCTTGGCCACTGGGGCACACTGCTGGCTCATGGTTGACTGTTGATCAACCACTGGTCAACTGTTGGCCAACCAAAACAACATTGGCTTTCTTGGCCAGCAGGTAAACCTTTGGTAAATCATTGGCCAGACAGGACACCACTGACCTTCTTGGTCACAAGGGCATACTGCTCTCTCATCATGGTAAACCTCTTGGCCACCATTAGCCTTCTTGGCCACCAGGGCACACTGCTTAAGTTCAAAGAAGCAGCTCTGTCCTCTCTCTTTCCCACCCCCATCCCTTGCTTTCCTGTTGTAGCAGCATAGCTGCATTTGCAGGTGTATGGCTGAGAAGTCCAGGGATTCAGACTTGGCTTTCACTCATAAACAGATGCACAATTAATTAGGTGGCCACACAGCAACTGTGGTGACCTTGGGATGGAGCCATGGGAAGAAAGATGGTTGGCCATTGACTTTCTGGCCCTTCAAAGTTGATGTCTTATGAACAAAGCTGCACATCTCCCAGATTTTGTCTTTTCCCAACTGTTAAATGGGGAAAAAATTTCCAGAGCCAGTGTGATACTGAGAATGAACTAACATTCTCCAAGTACCTGGAGAAGGGTGATAAGCAGTGTTACAAATGATAGCTGATAAGCAGGGTAGGTTTTTTACGTGACCTCCATGCAGTGGTGGGAGAAGCATGACTCCACCATGTTACTCCACCATAGCATTCTCTATGGATGCAACACCTTGTCATCTGAGAGTGTTGGAGTGTCCCTTTGCTTGTCCCTTTACTCTGCCATTGTCCTTCAGCTGTATCTTGTTGAATTCCATAGGTTGGCACTGGTGCCACCGTTGCCACGTTGGCCGACGCCTCCGAGCTGCCTACCACAGTTACTGTTGCACAAGTCAATTATTCTGCAGTGGCTGATGGAGAGGTAAGGATCTGGGTCATGCACATTAATGTTTTCTGCCATGAAGTGCTCATAGAACAGCAAGCCTTGCTTCCCCACTCTGCAGTGTTAACAATTAAAATACATGTGAGCACAAGACAGTGTGAAATTTCATATAGAAAGTGTTGAAGCACTTGGATTCAGGATTATACAAATGCAATTATGGCAAAAAATCCTGAATTTCATACTTTTTTATGTTCTGTATGTAGTTAATCTTGTGGAATCTGCTGTAGCTGACAGCTCAGGGTGCTCTATGATTTTGGGACGGACCCATAGGAATTATTGTGTCCAATGAATCGTAGAGTATCCCGGATTGAAAGGGATCCATAGGCATCATGAAGTCCAATTTCTAATGACTTAATGAATGATGCAGATGCATGCTCATCTGTTTGTGTTGGTTGACTTCTGTGTGCTCTCTGGATGCTGACAGCTGTGTTGTCAGCTAGGGTTAGGAATGGGATATTTCGAGCCTGTGTTTAGCAGAAGGTATTGCGTGGCTGTGGGCAAATCGTGTGATTTTTTGGCTGCTGATCTCTGGACAAAATGAGAATTGATCATTTTCTGCAGCTTTTGGGTGGATTTGCAGGTTAAGATGTGAACTTTAAACTGTTTAAATGCACATTAGTGTAGAGACAACATAAGGAACCAGGATTTCTGGCAGGGGGAAGTCTGGTTTGCGTTGTATAAATGGAGCTTTTCTGGCGACAGGTGGCAGCACAGAACAGCTTTGTTCTGAACAAGATCCTATTTCCATCCCAGAAGCGGAGGGAAGCAGCCTGGCTGTGATCTTGAAGTACATCAGAGCTGCTTTGAGGATTTTCAGTACCAGCTCTATCTCTCGAGATCTGGAAGAAAGCTACAATAGAAATGAAAGGAGCAGAGGCGTCTAGTTCCTAATTGAGAGAATTTTCTTCATCACCTGCTAAGGCATCCTTATTAGTGTGTTCAAGGCTGCTAGTGACCTGGAATGTTTATGGATGAGAATAGAGATGGGGAAGGAAAAAGATCTTCATCTTGGTAGGAGTGCCAGCTGATGGGCCTTTGTCTACCACTACTCAGTGATTTGATCCAATGCTTATTCTGTGTTCACATCTTAGTCAGTTTTGTGGCCATACAAGTCATTACATGGTGGAGTTCCAAGTGGAGAAAGAATTATGGCCAAGGGAAAAATGAGCAACTGAGACTGGATGAACTCGGAGCAATGTGAAACCATCAATGTAAAGAGAAGTAGGGGAATTAAGTACCTGAAGTAGATGAACAGAATATACTCCATTTGCTATTTTCTTTTCTGAGTGCATGGCTGCAGTAAAAGGAAGTCCCAGCAAGCAAGCTCAAGTGGGGTTGTGCCAGGCCCTGGCCATAGGAAACCATCAATGGCTGGGAGATGGTTGTGGGGTCCACAGTCTCACTTGGACCACGGTTCTTCTCCTCTGATGCTCTTTTAGCCCTGTTGAAGTCTTTGGGAGAGAGTCAGAATTCTGCAAACACCTCTTGGAGTTATGTGGCTCCTTTGTTTTGGGAAGCAGCCACCCATTGATGGAATGACATCCAATCCAAAGACCTTCCTCTCTGTTTTTCCCCATAGGTGGAGCAGAACTGGGCAACGCTACAGGGGGGTGAGATGACCATCCAGACAACGCAGGCATCAGAGGCCACGCAGGCAGTAGCATCGTTAGCAGAAGCAGCAGTGGCAGCATCTCAGGAGATGCAACAAGGAGCAACTGTTACCATGGCACTTAACAGGTGCGTGTGCGTTTCCTTCTAGGTTCTCATCTCATGGTTAAAAAGTCACAGTGCACGGCCCCAGTAGAGGCTTTTCCTTAGCAAGCTCCAGGTTCAACCTGTGCCCAGGTGTCTGTAAGATGGTTCTTAGTTTCCACTGTAACTGTAGAAGCATGCTGAATGGAAATTTCCTGCAAGAGGAAAAGATGGGTTTAGCAGTACTCTCCACATGATCTGATTTGTACAGCAAGGCTCCAGTTACAGCACTGAGCTTGCTAACGAAGAGTCATAATGTGCTAACAGTGCCTGTCAAGAATAAACCCACGATGCTGATGGTTGGAGTAGAGGTCCAAAATAGTGCTATGAGTAGATCATAAGTTATCAAAGCAGCCACCTAGATCCTGGAAGCAATCAATGGTATGCTTCCAAGTGCTCCCAGTATTTAAGGGAACTTATAAGCAGGAGAGAGAGTGATGTTTACATGAGCAGATAGTGATAGCAAAAGAGGGAATGGCTTTAAACTAAAAGAGGGGAAATTTGCTCAGGGGCAGAGAGGCCCTGGCACTGCTGCTGAGAGAAGTTGTGGGTGCCTCATTCCTGAGTGGGGCCCTGGGCAGCTTGAGCAACTGGGAGCTTCCAGTCCATTGCAGGAGTGGGGCTGGGGTTGCTTTGGGGTCCCTTCCAACCCAAACACCCTATGGTTCTATGCTCTTCAAGGTCTTTTCCAACCCAAGCCATTTGATGACCTTTAAGGTCCCTTCCACTCCAAGTTGTTCTAAGGCTCTGGGATCCTTGAGAACCCTTTTAACCCAACCACAATACGATTTGAATAAATTGCTATTAAATCACAAACACACAAAGAACTGCTTCTGTTTGTGATCCAGATCCAAGTCCATCCACTATGTTTTCTTCTGCTACCACATAAGGCTGATTGATCAAGCTTTGTTACTAATAGTTCCACTGTAAAATTGCCTTTTAAAATCACATGAGCTTTATAGGACACTGTAGGAAAAACAACTCAAGTAACTAGTTATGGAGCTGCAGGAGAAAGCCTTGAAACCCAGACTTTATTTCATCCCATCTCTAATACCTTTAGTTCTTGAGGTCGTGATGAATGGCTCTTTTCCTGTGTTAGTTGAGGAAGTTCAGAGTCTAGAATCACAGAATCATAGTTTCTATAGATTCCAGAATCATAGTTTCTATAGATCTAATAAGAAGAAATGTTAAAACTGAAGGGAGACTCCTGGAAGAAAGAAATGGAAGATCTTTCCAGAGACAGCTGTGTGTGCAAGCTGTGCTTGTACACGGTAGGGGTTTTATTTCCCAGCTTGTTGCCACCCTTTTTCCTTAGTAATCATAAGCTGGGAGCTCAGCTAGGTGATGGGCCCTCAAAACCCTTCCATGTGAAAGGGACATACTTTTTGTTTTATGCAAAAAGGCCAACTAGCAGCAAAACTTCACTTCTGTTCAGTTGAGCAATTCTGCAGTTCTCCAAAGGTTTGCAAGACTCACATTTTGTTGGTTTTCATGGAAGCAGTGAAGCTCGTATCCCTGACATAAATACCAAGTTCCTACAGGGTTGGACAAGAGCTTATCAGAGAATAGGAGATCAGGAACTGATGATCTCAGAGATTCCCTTATCTAAGTCACTGCTCTGGTGGGTCACACATCAAGTTAAACAAGTTCATGTTTTAGTTTTTTCAAGTGTTGCTGTTGGAATTTGTTGAAGATATTCCACTTTCCTCTTGCCTTTGGAAACAGCCTTTTGAATCTGACAGTTCTCAGGAATCAGAAGCCTTCCACTTTGTATTTAATTCAGGGCTGCTGAACATATTTTGATTTTTTCTGAGTGAAGGAAGCAACTCGAGATGACTTGGGGCTGTTCAGAAATGAAAATCCACCCTGAGTTCAGTTGGAAAGTGTGCAGCATCCAAGCAGGAAAATTAGGTGAGAGGAACAGTGAGTAGGAAGTGACTTATAAAACATTGGAGTCCATTTTATCAGAGAGTCATAGAATCATGAAATATCCTGAGTTGGAAGGGACCCTGGAAGTCTATGAAGTCATGAGAGAATGAGAAGGGAGCAGTTATATTTTGTAGAATCATAGAATCATTAAGGTTGGAAAAGACAACTAAGATCAAGTCCAACCATCAAGCCGTCGCCACCATGCCTGTTAACCAAGTCCCTCATTTCTGGCAACATCAGACTTAACAGCAAGACTGAGGTGGTAGTTTATTGGACAAGATGTTGTGGAAGCAAAAAATAAATACAAAAATGGGCTTCAGAGGGGTCAAACCTGATGGTCCAGATGCTGTCTGTGCTGTGTGGAAATCAATACAGTGTTGACTGCTGGAAGCTGAGAAGGAAGGGAAGGGTTGTATATGGATCCTAAATACTGATGCTGGCTGCTCTCACAGCAGGGTTGCTGCATTAGAAAGGCCTTTGGTATGACCTCACTTGTACAAAGAAACTCAAGCACACCATGCTTAGCTACCAATCACTCATTAAAAAAGAATTATTAAACCACGTGGCTGGGGAGAAGCACTGTATCTTGGCTAAATTGAGAGCTGCTGATGTGTTCCTGGTGCTGGTGAAGTTCTGGGCAAGGTAAAATCAGTAATGAAGGTGGAGCTGTAAAATCTGGGAAGATTCAATGGTAAAAAAATAAATGAGTTTTGTGCCCAGAACCGGAGTCAGGAGGGAGCCGTGTGATGGAATGTCCTTAGATTATCCAAAAGCTTTTTGTAAAGCCCAGACAAAGGGATGGATATCCTGGTAGGCAAGCTGTCAAAAAGCTACTGGAAGCAACTTATTGCAAAGTATTCCTCCTCAATTGTACATTTCCCATTCTGAATAACTTCAGCTGGCCGTGATATGGATCCCTTCTTGCTGTGTTTGTTCCATGCCACGCAGTGCCTGATGAAAATGGGTCCTGCTGGAGCAGTGTGGTTGGTTTGCCTTTCTTCCTAAATCTCCTCTCTCCTCTCCCATGCAGTGAAGCAGCTGCCCACGCCGTCGCCACGCTGGCTGAAGCCACTCTTCAGGGTGGAGGACAGATCGTCCTATCTGGTGAAACTGCAGCAGCAGTAGGAGCACTCACTGGAGTCCAAGATGCCAATGGTAAGGCTGCTGGAAAGCTGTTGTTTTGTTTCTGTTTTAATTTTATTTTTGTTTTCTGTCTTAGCCAGAGTTTTTCCTCCTTATTTTTAATGCCAAGTTGCCCCTAGTGAGAGAGTTCTGTGGGTTATAACTTTAAAAGCCTGGAGAGCTGAATGGTGGTGTTGACCTCTTGTTTGCTCCCCATAGTGCTGGGGATTTGCTGTCCTCCTCCTTTAAGGCTCTATGGAAGAAGATTGCTCCCATTCTCTCTTTGCACAGTGTCCAGAACTTGGTCAATACAGCTACTTGGTGCTGTAGTAATCTCATCTCCAAAACGATGTAGAGTGGCAGCAAATATGACCAAAACTTTATTACCCACTCATTTCCTTCCTTTCTTGAGGCATTTTGCATGCTTGGTGGCTGCTCTTGAACAAAGCTTCTGTGCTTTGCTGGCAGATAAGTCATCCAGCAGCAGTCAGGTCGCTGCCTTTTGCTTTGTTTTCCATCTTGTCACCACTGCACTGTAAGCACTGCCACTGCTTAGTTGTAGGGAGCTATATAATGTCTGTAATGTTTCTTGCTTCTTATCTCAATATCAGTTCAGCCAAGTCTGGTGACTTCAGTAGTCATCCAGTACCAGCTCAGTGTGAATAAAATGGTGTGGACCTTCGAACTCAACTTCCAACTCAAATGATTCTGTGATTGTAAGTTGTAAGGAAACATTGCCTTGAGGGTAGGGTTATTTGGGCTCTAGTTGCCAAATTGTGCAGCCAGGTGGCTTCTTGCCTTGTTGCTTTGCATGCCAAGCAGGTGTCTTCCTCTATGAGATCTCAGGTTGGCTCCCATCAAAATCCTCATCGTGTGGGGTACGTGCTCACTGTAAAACATCAACATTTAGCTGGGGATATGGAGGCCAGAGTGGTTAACTCATGGTGTTTAGTTTGATGCCTCTTGCTATGCAGTCAGCCAGCCTGAAGAGGGAGCAGAAATGAAGGGAAAACTCATTCCCAGAGGCAGGGAGTGCATTGGATGCAGAAGCTGTGCTGTATTACACTTTGCCATCAGCAGAGCACGATGGGGAGAGGTGTTGTGTCTGTATAGGAGGAAGAATCTGCTCCTGGATGCTCAACCCCAGCAGCTAACCAGATTTGTACAAGCACGTTAGGATCCTTGAGCAATCTGCATCCCAACTCCCTTTGGTCCACTTTTAAAACACATTCACAGTGTGGATTCCTCTGGATGCTTTCCCCTAAACCTGAGTCACTCACCAGCGTTAATACCACTTTAATGCAAGTTGGGTTGGATGGGTTTTTTTGCCTTTTTTTTTTTTTTTTTTTTCTAACAGCACTGTTGGAAATCAGATGGGATTTAGAATGCATTAAGGGAAGAGGCTGCAGCTTTCCCTGTGCCCACAGCCCCACTCCCACCTCCTTCGATCCGCTCTCCTCTCCAGCAGCATTAAGGGGTTGCTTTGTGGGCACAGAGCCCCTGGAAGCGCCGTGCTGGTGGGCTCATCACCTCACCAGCTCATGTATCTCCCTTAGGGATGGAGTAGATGTTGGATATCTGTTCCTCTGTCTCAAGCTGGGGGTGGAGAGCAGGTGGATTTCCAGCGACGCTGAGGATTTTGCTGCACCAAAGCTTTTGGTGTGAGGGTGAGCATTGCCCTGGGCACCTCCACCTGGCTGTGTGGTGCAATGGGAACCAACAAGGAGACAAGGGGGAGGGATTTGGTGCAATCAGTTGCAGGAAGGAGATGGGGAAATGACTCCTGGAGCCGTGGTGGAATGAACCAGCAAATAGCCCTGCTTGCTGCTGCTGGCAGGGTCTTCATCTGCCAACGTTTTTAATTAATGCATCTCCCTGGGAGTGCTCTCAACGTTGTGTGGGCTCTTTTGGGGGGATTCTCATCCCTCAACTATAAATTTTTCCCTGTCTTATCGATGAGGAAACTGAGGCAGTGGTTGAACACATTTGGTTGCAGTGAGGTAAGGTGTTGCTCCTGATTTTAGCCTCTAGATATAATTACTCTCTGACTTGCTTTATTCTATCTTAGTATCTTTCCCATTCATCCTCTGGCTCGTGAGCAATATTAAGAGACCCAAAAGAATGAAACTGGCTGAAAAGAGGCAACTTCTGCATGTTCCTGTCTTGGAATCAGGAACGCTGGGAGGGATGACTGTGCTCTTTGAGCTGAAGATGTTTGCTCTGAAAGCAAAGCATTAAAACAATGTAATACCCAAAACAGGTGAATGGGACTGCAGCAGAAGCTGCCTGCATATTGAAAACGCTCTGCTGAGAGGAGACTGTGCATTCTGGGTGCTTTCAGGGTGTGCTGAGGAAGGAAACCTGATCGGCCCTGGGAGGAGAGCAGACAGAGCCGTCCCCATACTGCAGCCTTTTGTTCAGGATCGATCCGAGCTGAGGTCTGAAAGCTGCTTTGGCTGCAGCCTTCCTGATGTCATGCTTCAATATTGATGAAGCTCTGCCCACGTGGGGCTGTGCCACCCCATAAATATAACACCAAGCAGAATCCCTGCCCCAAGGATGTCAGTGGAACAGCCTCGGTGCATGGGGTTGACTCTGTTTTGGTGCCATTGTGCTGCTTTTTGGACACTCTGAGCTGAGTGTTGGGCTTCAAACTCCTTCTTCCTGCTCACCCCCAAATTCACCTCCATTTCTCCATGTGAGAGACGTGTTCACATCGGGGGTGAGCCAGGATTATCGTGTCGTGATGAAAGCACACGGAGAGCATTAGGGCTGTGACATCAGCAGCAGGGATTAGCAAGCTCCAAGCAGAAGGAAGACGTCAGGGCAGGAGCATACCTTGCAATTAGTGTAGGATAAGTGATCCCATAGCAGCATTTTGGGTGACAGGACCTTGCTGCATGGAGCAGGCGATTCCTGCAGCACGTTCAGTAGCTGGAAGGCTGCTGGCAGCAGTGGGTGCCAGGTGCAAAGCTGTCCCCACCCTCAGCTGAAGGGCAGATGGGAGATGGGAAACCCTCTGCAAAGTGCCTTCTGGGTGAGGTGGTGCAGGAAAGCAGAGGCAGATGCATGGGGTATAGCCAAGTACTGTGTGCTCTTGTCTGGGACATCCTTGCTTTGAAATATCCTTGCTTTGGGATGCCTGGGGACAGGGAGGTGCAGCACACCGACTCTTTTTTCCATGAGAAAGAGGATAGGCAGAGGCTCAGAGGCTGGTCTGCTGCAAATGTCAATCTCCTTTGAATCAGTAATAAATTTCCCTCCTAGAGCTTCTACTTTTTGAGGAAAGAGGATCCAGGTGAGCACTGACACTGGCAAAGTGCTGCTGAGCATATGAGTGGACCTGGAGGAAAGGGCTGAGCTCTTTGCAGCACCTTCCTGGTGAGAGCAGATGTATATTTGTTAATGAATTTAACCACAGTCTGAAGGAGAAAGGAGGAAGCACAGTTTTGCAGATGTCACCCAGCAGAGGAATGGTGTCACTGGATGCTGGATGGATGAATTCCTGAGCAGAGATAAGGAGAGGTGCTTTCTAGAGGACAAATTCCTTTATAGAAACAGATGGTGGTCCGAGTTAAATACATTGCCATGAGCATCACCTCCAGCAGGTTTATCCTCTTCCAGACCCACACAGCTCTCTGTTTGCTTGGAGCCCCACCAGATCATTGAGACCCACTGCCTTTGGCACAGCTTCAACCCACTATGGTGGCCCTCCTGCATTCTGCTGCTGTCCTGCATCTCTCTTGGGCCCTAATCTTTGCCCTGTGACGTGGGGCTTTGCTTGGACATCTTGGCTGATGATTAGGATTTGTCTGCCCACCAACCAGGACTAAAAATAGTGGCTCAGACATCTCCCTCTCGTGCTGTGCTCAATGCTTCTCCTACCAGCCAGGTTCTGCTACACCAACGCAGGGACCAGGGCTGCTCCCAGCACACGTTTGGTCCCCTTTGTCTGAGTTGGATGCCACGTTGCTGCCTTTAGGGCATCCCTTGGCTTATTGCCACCGTGGTGAAGACATAAAATAGTGATTTTTGGATGCAGTTTGTTCTCCTTGAGTGGGGATACTCGTATCACTTGATTTCTGGGGAGAAGACGTTTTTATAAGGTGGATGTCTTGGTCTGCTGTTGGCAAAGAGTGGAGTGCAAGCAAAAGCCGTTTTGAGTTTTGTGGATTCTTTTTGCTTTTGCTTTCTTCATTTCCTTGTCCCCAGGGATGTGGCTTAGTGGGCAGTATTGGTGGTCAGCGGGCAGTTGGACTTGGATGATCTTGGAGGTCTTTTCCAACAGTAATGACTCTATGAGTGGGCATAGTGGGGATGAGTTGATGATTGGACTGGATGCCCTTTTCCAGCTGTAATGATTCTGTGATTCCTTTGCACAAATCTCACATGAAGTCTGATTTATTTATTTTTTTTAAGCTCCAGAACGCATCTGAGCTCATAAAGAAGGAGACACAAGGAAATCTTTGGCTTTATCTGTTGCTGTCCCTAAAAGATACCCTAATGCCATTCCCAGTGGGGAGTGGGAATGGGGCAGAGATCCACTGCCAAGTCCTTTACTACTGGATAGTGCTGAGCTTTTCTTTGGCCCCCATTGGTTTCAGTGAGCTCCCAGCCAGCCAATGAGCCTGACCCCCATCTCCCAGCGCCTCAATGACCTTCCAGCAGCCCCAGCACCTCCCAGCTCCCCTCCCCTGGTGAGTTCTGACATCCATCCCTGCTATCAGCAGTTGGGACTTACAGGCTCCCCAGCTGTCACTGCCCTGCTTTAAGCGCAGGCCATTTACCTTCCACGTGTCCTGAATTAGGGGAAATGGACAGGAGGGCTGGGCCTGTTTAAAAATTAAAGCTGATTACAAGGCATTAACATTACATTTAAAGAAATAGCAGCCCTCCTCTTTGGGCATGGTTGCAATATGTTCCCTTTTGTTCTGGGCTTGGAGAGGAAACAGGGCTGCTATTGACTCTGAGCCGAGCAGGGCTTCTTTAGCTTCTCTTCTCAAATTTACAGCTGTTTGATGCCTTCTGCAGTCCTCTAAAGCAGTTTTGCTCTTGCACTTCCTTCCCAGCTTTGTGCTTGTAGCAGAAAGCTGAAACTCTCTGCTCGTCTTGAATTCTTATTGGAAAATTCAGATTAGATGACGCTGTCCATCCATCTGCCTTCTGAACACAGCACTGGGAAGCTCCTATTTGGGGGATCCCACACGTGTTCACCCAAGTGCCAAAATGCAGGCATCCTGGGTCAGTTGGAAAGAAAATCTTTTTGTACTTTGGGGTTTTTTGGTGTTCATACAAGAGCTGGAGATCCCCCCCACCTGCTTTCAGAATTTTGCTTTTGGAAGCTTGTATTTGGGGGATCCCAAACTGCTTTAGTCTTGTGTTCATCTTGGGACCAAATGCAACCATCCTTGTTCTGTTGGGAAGGAAACTTGATTTTTTTATTTTTATTTTTATTTTTTTTCCGGTTTTGGGGTTTTTGGTGTTCATGCAAGAGCTGGAGATGCCAATTCTTTATTGAGTTTTTATCTAAAGGCGATGGGTTTGTATTTGGATGGGAAAGCAAAGGCAAGCAGTATACTTAGCTTGTCTCCCTAAATATGTCTCGAGGCTGGGTAGACAAACATTTCCTGGTTGGTTTGCCACTCTTCCCAGTGCAGGACTGGGATGTAAAATGCTGGAATGGGAGGCGAAGGAGCTCTGCATTGGGATGGGCTGCACCTCCTCAGCACTGTGCTGCTATTTGTAGCTCTTGCCCTAAAGGAAAGGGCATGGATGGAGCAGAACAGCAGCTCTATAGTGCTGCTTGCTCCTCCTGACCCTTAGCAGATGTTGGTGAGTCATTGTTCCATGCATCCTTCTCCATGCCCAGCCTCAACCAGAGGCTCTGTGGAAAGCTGCACTTGCAGTGCTCCTCTGTGCTCACCCCCAAACCCCAACCAGAAGTTCTGTGGGCAGAGCAGGTCCTCCATGGGGCTACTGCTGCCTGTCTCAAACCAGAGCATGGCACCAGAGGAAGGACCATGTGCTTTAATCCCACCTGAGATTCCACTTCACCTTTCCTGGAGCAGAGCAGAGCTCACACCTTATCCACTGCATCTTTTGCACCCTGATCCCAGTTGACTCTGCAAGTTGGGATGAGCAGTGGGTGATGATGCAGGGCACCTTGAACATCTCTCAGTTCAGATTTCAGCTTGCATCCTGCTTGGAGCAGCATTCCCTCATCCCCATTCACATAGCGACAGGTGAGCGCTTTCTGTGGCCACGTTTCCACTTTGCTCCCTGTAGCAGCCCACTGCTACCCCCATGCTATTTGTGGGTCTGGGGGAGTGAGTGAGCACTGAGATTACACTGCATCAGGGCAGATGGAGAGGGGCTCCTAATCCCCCCTCACCCCTGCATCATAGCAATCTGCTGTTTCATGGCAGCAGGGCTCAGTCTTCGCCTTGCTGGCAGGTAGCCCTATGGCTACAAGGTTAGGACACACTTCCCTGCTGGACTTTGGGGTCTGAGTGATTGAACAGAGGCTTGCCTGACTCCAGGGCAGCACCAAGCTCCAGGGTTTAATGTCTGTCAGCGGGCGTAGGGTGCAACCTGATCCAAATGGGAAGCTGGCTGACATCCCAGCAAGCTGTCGTAACGACGCAAGGCATTTTATGAAATGATATGGGGGTTTGTGAGCCTCCCCCCACCACTGGGCATCCCCCTGCAAGGAGCAATACCCTATAAGCTGTGCCACAAAGCTGTGTTTTCCCAAGCACGGCTCTCCTGAGCACACCAAAGCACGGTTTGTGGGTCTGTTTGGTTATGAATTCATTAGGTTCGTACATTAGAGCACAGTTTCCTCCTTCTTCTATTTCTGAGCATGTCTAAAGGATCGTTTCGTGGCCGTATTTATCCTCTCTGTTGGTTCCCCGTAGCAGGGACTTGTTGCAAAGCCTAAAAGCACAGCCCCATCTGTCTCATGCCTCTGGGGCATAGTAAAGAGCCCCATCCTGAGCTGCTCTCTTGCAGCCATGTGCTCATTGCCCACCAGCCCTGCCAGTGGCAGGATGATGGAGATGGAGGGTTTTAATTCATGGCCCCAAGAGGCTGCACCGGAGACCTTCAGACTTCTGTTTTTCCAAATACTTTTTTCCGAGTGAAACCCATTCCTCAGCCATGCTGTTCTGGTTTTTGGGGTTGAAAGGCTGTTTTCTTGCCACTCCTTTGAGGAAGGATTCATTTATTTCTTCTTTGAGGTGGCAGTGGATGGCGTGAAGGCTTGGAGAGATGGCAATTTGGGTGGCGCTGCACAAAGGTTTGATGGTGTGCACAAGAAAGAGGTAAAGCTGTCCCTGTAAGGAGCCCATAAGGCAGAACCATTTCTCTTTGCCCTCTGAGCAGAAGGGAACGCCATGCTTTCCACCTGCAGTCCCCCTGGGAAGTGAATCGAGGGCGTTTGCGCTGTCCCTGGCGGCCCCTGTCTCCCAGTGACCTTCTCAGCTCCCGAAGACAGCTTGGCTTTGCTGTAAAGCAGCTCATGTGACAGTGGTAATCCGCAGCTCGTCAACAGCTGGGCAGGAAGATTGCAGGGAATCGCCCTATTTTCCTGTGGTGCAGCCTCACGCCAGAGCAGGATGGTGCCTTCTGGGCTCCAGCAGCAGGTTGGAACATTGATACTCACAGCACTGCAAAGCTTTCCAGGAGCACACGTGCTTCTGTGAGTCGAGGTAAAGCTGCAAAACAAGTTCCAAGAGAGGAAAAAAAAAAAGCCCAATGTTTCTGTCTGACATGACTTCCTATAAATCTTTTCCAAAGATGGAGTTGAAGTTCTTCCTCCCACCCCCATGGTATCCTTGGGTTGAGTTTATTCTCTAATGCGTATAGATTTCTTTCTCTGTTATGTTTTCTGGTGGTTAATGTGGACTCCTCTGTGATCCAGGGGAGGAGTGCAGTAGACCCATGGCCATTTGGACTCTTTAGCACATGCCCAGCAGTTTGCTTGGAGAAGACAGCCTCTAAGAAGGGAGAGAATTTGGCTTGAAGTGAATTGTGGCATTATTTGTTGCTCACAGATCATAGCAAAACTTTACTCTTTGTGAGTTTTCCTCCTTGCTGTCAGTAATTTGCCTCTATTCCTCCTGTTCCAGCAGGAAGGAGAGGTGCTCTGATCAGGTCAGGAGCTTTGTCCCCACGTCATCCCTTCTGGTTTCTCTACCAGAAACCACTACCAGTGCTCTTGTAGTGTCGATATGTTGTCCACCAGGACACGGCCTGAGACAATCCCTCATTTCACGTCAGCCCTCAGAAATGGCCATCTGTTCCCTCTGCCTTGTGGTAGCTTTGAAGGAGAGCCCTCAGCAGTGAAAGGCTCTCTTCTATTCCCCTGAGCTGCCTCATCTCTTCCCTTCAAAAAGGAAAAAAAGAAAGCTCTGTGCTCCCGAGCATTAGGGGGCTCTAATTGGTGTGTGTGTGATAGGGCTGTTGCATTTAAAAGGTGAACATGGAGCTAATGGAAGCAGTTTTATTGCTGGTGTAAATATAGCATGCTCGACCCCTTTGAAGTCATAGGGATCAGCAGACAGTGGTGTTCATATTCAGTTCTGCAGCATTCAGATCCAACCTGCTGGATGCTTCCTGTTGCTCTTACCCCAGGTATGTCACTGTGTCCTTGGCCAAATCTTCTTGGAGGACTTTTGTGTGGTTTTAGTGCAAAAAATAAGAGTCTAAGTCACTCTTCTAAATAGGAGCTGAGTACAGAGAGATTTGAGGGCTGCAACTCAGTGGTCATGTGCATGAGGTTGATGGTTGGACTGGACAATCTTACTGGTCTTTCCAACCTTAATGAGTCTATGGTTGATTCTGTGCAATGAACAAGGATTGGACTTTGCGGGTTCTCCAGCCACCTCCTCCTGCTCTCATTCATTCTGCCTTTCCTGGGAGCTGAGAGCAATGGACGGACCATTGTGCTTGGTCCAGTGGGTCCCCTTGCAGCAGGGATGCTTTTGCAGATCCATTTTGTCACCAGAACCCATCGTTTCGGTCCCGTTCGTTGGCCATGAATGTGCACTCTGTTGCAGCAGCAAGGTTCCTGCTGAACGAGTCAGCAAAGCGCTGGGAAAATGGTTTTTAGCTGAAGCCAGAGCCTATCTGGTTACATATCACCTTACTGCAGAACAATAGCTGCTTTATACTCCCATGTGCTAAATGCTCTGTAGTGTATGCTAATGTCCATGTTCACGTGTGATCTATGGGGCAGCGTGCTAACTTGGGAAACTCATTTAGATCCCAGCCTCTTGTAGCCCTAAAATCACACCAAGCTCCTCTTGGAGACTAATGAAGACTCAATGAATCTCCTCACCAAATGCTCTGGGGATGCATAGAAACGCCTCTTTGGCAGCCACTTCTCATTCATTTCACATCCCTGGTTAGTGGAGAGCATTCTTGGAGGTGGCTGGAGCTTCCCCAGGACAGATTTTCTCCATTCTGTGTTTCTCTTTGGACCTCTCTGGTCCAATTAAACCATTCATCTCAACGTTTGCCAACTGCACTACAAATATCTGCAAGTATCTCGCTGTGCCTCCCACGTCTGCAGATAATATCCTGTATAGAGTCAAAAATATTCAAGTTACAGTGCCTAATATTGGGGTATTACTTAAGTGTATTACACTAATATTGGGGTATTACTTAAGTGTGGATAATGAATTAAACCTAGCCTACAAGTGTTTTCCCTACCCAATGCCCCCCATGACTGCAACATGTGTTCAGCCTTTTACACTTGCATTTCATTGTCAGGCATCCTAGCAGCAGACTATTCAGGCTACAAGTGGAGCCTAGCAGAGAGTTTATCAGGTGAGTGGCTTTTCCTGGTGATAGTTGTTGAATATTGGGACCTGGCTATCAGTGGCACAGCTAACATAGTTGATTTTGGTTCCTGACACTGTGGTGCTTCTTGGGGGGTGAAAGGGCTTTGTGTCTCTTTTTCTTCTTTTTTTTTTTTTCTTTTTTTTTCCCTTCCCTTTCTTATTACACTTTCAAGGGGAAGCCACTAGGCTTTGGATATAGGTTGAGGTTGGAGCATTGGGCTGGAGATGCAATGGGGTGGGTTCATATCCTGCAGCCCCGTCCCGTTGGCCATACACAAGCCGACCTCCCTTATAACCATCACTTAATTAAACAATTAGTGAGGAGGGCTGCTTTAACAGCACTCAAGCAACCACAGGTGGGGCTGTTGGGGGGCGTTGTGATCTTTGGAGTTGTAAAATTCATCTTTTTGAAGGTCACGGGCTCAAAGCAGAGCTAAAGCAGCAGTGGAAAGGGAAGAAAACCCCACAGCCTCGCTTTCGGCGCCCGTCAGTTTTAAGAAACCATGGGCTAAAGATGGTAGCAGAAACCTAAGTACAGAAGTAGGTGCACTGCATGGCAGAGGGAAGGCAGACATGAGAGAGCGCCCATGGATGCTTTGCTGGTGTAGCCTCTTGGATTCTGGGCATGCATCTCTTTCTATGTGTGACTGTCTTCCCAGTATTGTTGATTTTCAAAGATAATTTGTTAGAATATGTGCTTCAAAAAAGAAAAAAAAAAAAAGGGAAGTTTTTCAATTCAGGTGACTTCTGAAAATGGATTTTAGTCTTTTGGGTTGAAGTAATACAGTATTTTATCACTTTTAGGTGGTACTCTGCCTTCATTCTCCCAGTACCCTTTAATAAAACCTTACAGAAAATACAGGATCGAGGCTGTTTTAAGAGTAAGAGTCACTCTCTATATACATTTCATAGAATATCCTGAGTTTGGAAGGACACGTCAAGTCCAACATTTGCCCCATTGGAAGAGCCCATGTGGGTGTTAAACACATAGCAAGCAAGTTAGCAAAGTTTTTATGGCAAAACAGAATCCCATATGGTGATTGCTACACTGCCTGCCTCTCCTACCATGAATTTAATGTCTTATGCTTCATAAGAGGAACAGATTTAGTTTATCTGTAGATGTTTCCTGCCTGTGGTTTCTGGGGAGCTTTGCACTGGTAGCACACAGGTGACACAGCTCTGCTCTGCTCAAAAGGTGCTCCTCTCTTCCATATCAACAGAAACAAAGCCCAGGAGTGAATTCCAGGTAGAGTGGCGTTAGGGGCTCTTGTACTTTCTCTATTTTTTTTTACCTCTGTTTCCTCTCTCTGATTGACCACGATAGACTGCTAATCTTACCAGGTGTGCCCTTCACTCCACAGCAAAGCCAGCTGATCAAGGAAGCTTAGAAGGGTTATTCATTAAGCTTTCATCTCTGGAGCATGGTAAAAAAGGCTTCCCCTACACAGGTAGATGCATGGCATGCTCGGTCTCCTCCTTGCATCTTCCTCACTTCTCCTCCTCCTTGGGCTTAGCATGGCTCACTGTGGGGACCCCAGTACTGGCGTGTGTGGGAACAGCTTTATTCCTCCCAGGTCTTGCTGTCGAGCTCAAAAGCCATCACCAAGAGGAGGGGGAGAGGCAGGTCACCTTATATAGGGCACAAGGGCTGAAGGCATGAGGCTAATCCATTGGGACACCAAGTTGCTGCTTTGCCTTCTTTCCCCAGCACCCTTCCCCTTCCCATTTAGTATTTTTTAGTAACTTTTAATTAAAAACAAAAACAAACAAACAAAAAAAAAAGAATGAAATAGGAGTTATCAATTCCATCAACATACAGACGGAATGGGAGAGCCAGCATTTTGGATGGAAGACTCAACGTTTCAGGGGAGCAGAATGGGAGTTTTCCACTCCATCAATGTAAAGATGGAATGAAAGACCCAATATTTTGGGTGGAAGACCCGACATTTCAGGTGAATCACTTGCAGTGTTAAAAATAAAGGGCAATTCTTCCTTTTGCTGTGGATGATTGCAGGTGGAGGGCTTCTGGTGGGTCAGGAAAGGGCTGCACAGCCTGAGGTGCGTAGAGGTGGTGGTGAAGTAACATTGGTGGAGGAGGTCTTGGTCATTATTCCTCAAAGGCCTCACTCATAGCTGTGTTGGGGAAGGGTTTGGGCACTGGGCTGCCTCCTGGATCCTTCCTTCTCCCACGTGTGCTGGAGAAAAGCTCTGGAGAAATCCATGAGCGTTGCTTAACGGGTTGGGGATGGGATTCTTGTGAATCGGTCGTTTTGCACGAAAGTATTACAACTTCAAAACCAAACATACAACAAAACAATAAAGCCCAAAGTAAGAAAAAAAACAAAACAAAACAAAAAGACAACCAACTAACCTAATATCAGCCAAATCAAGCACCACTTTTTAAAAGAAACAAACAAAAAGAAACCCAAATCACCACCCAGACCCAACCTAAAAGCCCTGAATCGTTTCCAGGGCCCACGTTGGTCGATTGGCAACTGAGAGTGGTATCCTTTAGTTCATACCTTTGGGGTGGGGTTGTATGTTCTCTTGGACTTTGTATGGGATGAAGTAACCCAGGTCTCTCTGTGGTGTGGGTTACCTTCTCCTATAGAGGCGAGACCGAGGAATAAGGGAGATGAAGCTGAAGGTCTTCCAATTCTTGCTAAGCTGGGACTCTACATGAAGAAAAGAAGTTTTACCTGCCTCTGAAGGATAGCCAAAGATGGAGACTTTGCAATTTCCCCAAGTTCTGGAGCTTCACAAACCTTATGTTTACTGATTGTCTTTTTTTTTTGTCTTTTATTTTCCCTCACTTAATATCCATGCTGTACCTCAAGTTGGTATCTTACTCTTTCCTGCTCTGTAGAAAGTGACCAGGTTGTTCTCTTCTTCTCTGCATCACTTTTGTTGGGTTTGTAGGCTATCTTGTGTATGGAGGCCAAGGTTTTCCTGGTGCTGTTTCACTTTCTCTGTGCTGCCAAACATTTTGTTGCTTGGAGATCCTCTAGCAACGGAGTTCCATACTTAAATTTAAATGTGCACTCTGGTTGTTTTGGAGCAGGATCGTGCTAAGCAGAGAGTTTGTACCCATTTCCCCTCTGCTAAGTAGGAAGACTGAAGCCAAAGGTCTGTGGATGAGCTGGAGGCAAAGAATTAAAATTGAAGTTTTCATTCCTTTCAGCCTTCTCTGTCGTTGGCCTGAGCTCTGTAAGGCTTTCAGAGCTCTCCCTTGGTCAGGTAGATCTGTGAGGCTGATCAGTGTTCTGCTGTCTCTGCAATGCTTGGAAACAACAAACCAGGCAACTTTCAGCACTTATCCCTTTGGTGTCTGAGAGAACAGAGCAAGTTGTGCCAACTTAACACATCCGCTGTGTGGGATCTGCTTCATCTCCTCAGTGCTGAGGATGTTTCTGGTGCCAGTAGATCCCCCAAGAGCAGCATTGGGTGCAACTGGCCATGGCTTTTGCCTTCTTCTGATCTGAAGTGGGCTTTAGATTCCCTGTTGGAAGAAGACATACAACACTCCATTGAGATCTTGTCTTTTGGTCAGGTCATGTTGCCTAAATTTGAAGATAACCTGATGATGCTGTGCTGTGAGGGTCTGCAAGGTGAGCGCTGATGTTTTGCCCCATAAAAGAAATCAAAAGAGCAGTTTGTCAGTGCACTGCTTCTGAGTGCTGCATCAGACTCCAGGTCCCAAATGCTGGAGTCAAACCAGCATTAGTTTCTCAGTTAGTTTCTCAGAATAGTCTCTCAGTTTGCCTTTTGCTCTCTCAAAGTCCTGAGGCTGCTTCCAGAATGTTGCAGGAGATCAGCACAGTTCAAGTTGATGCTAGCAAGGAAGATGATTTTGCACTTCATGAAGGAAGAGGAGATGGTTTTCCAAGCTCAGGTTCAGCATGGTGACAGCAGTCAAGAATGGGGCTGGTTCTTCTCTTTCAACCATCCAAAACTTCACTTGTGTGCTCTGTTTGAGCTCCAGGCAGAAAGTGTGGCATAAAGTTGTGCTGTCCGTGCTCCCCGTGGTGCAGAAGGATGCTCCAAAGCATTCATCAGAGGAGCCCGTCTCTGGGAAGATAATATTGGACATTTATCTCTGAGTATTTGAGAGGTGCCCTGAGATCATCCATTCTTCAGTTTCTTCCACTCATTCTGCATGTTTGAATATTGATCTCTGTGGTGGCCCAGCTCACCTGGTTGGCTGTGCCTTCCTTCTGCACTTGCTGTGATCTCGAAGAAGCATAAGAACCAGCAGAAACTGGCTCTATTGTCCCCATCCTCTGGATACTGGATGGCCAATCATCTCAACCTCCTACTCTTCTCCCCCAAAGCCCATTGAATGGTGGTTTAATGCACCCACTTGCAGTTTGGGATCAGAACAGTTCTGATGTTGCTGGTCCCCTGTCCGTGTCAGGTAAGGTGCCTGTATCAGCCACTGCATGATATTTGGTCTCAGAATCCCATGGCCAGAGCCTAACTCTCCCCCTTCTGCAAGCTTTAACCTCTTCTCTGCTGAAACAAATGCAAAATCCTTGTCCTGGCAGGCTGCAGGTAAGCAAAAGCATGACCTGGGCGCAATCCAGAGCATCCTGCTGAGGGTAGAGATGAACGTCATCGTTTCTGCCAAATGGTGGGAGGAAATCCCAAATGGGCAGCTCCAGCCCAGCTGTGTCATCTCACTGCTCTGTGCATTATCCATCACCTCTGCTGGCTCCTGTCCACAGGTAGGAGCAGCTCTGGGCTGCTGCAAGCCCAATTCCGTCTCTCCACTGGGGCTTTCCCACCCCAGCACGACTCAAGTTTTTTTTGGAAGATGTGTATTTTCCAGAGACTTGAAAGTTTTGTGGTTTTGTGTTTTTTTTGTAATTTTGTCTAATGGATTTCCTGTTTTTAATACAATTGAAAGGGTCTGAAATCCATGCTTTAGATTAACATATGCCAGCTAGATTAGGGCTAATCAGGGCACAGGTCTGAGCAGATGCAGCACAGGGCCAATCCTAGACCTGATTACAGCATCTCAGTGGTTTAATCGCCTCTCTCCCAAGGGCGATCATCTCTGCTTTAATACACAGCAGACTTTCCAGCCCTCGCCCTCTCCTCCTTTGGTTTGTCACCACTCCTGCCAGGAAGGCCACTGCGTCAGATGCTGAGACGATTTAGCTTAATCCCATGCAGAAAGGGAGCTGTGCATCGCTGTCTCTCGCGGAGACCAGAGACCTCCCCACTCTTAACGCGCAACGTATCCAAGTTGTAGTTAGCTTCGGTCAAACCTTGGCTGAATCAGGCTCATCTTTCCCCCCCCTTTGGTGTTTCCATCTTGCCATATTTCAGTAATACCTGTCTTTCACAATGGTCCTATTATGGCCAACTTGTGCAGGGATCAGATTCTTTAATGCTGCGTGCTCAGCGTTGCTGGTGACCCTCATCTTTGGGTTGGCCACGGGGAGCAGAGTCATCTCAAAGAGCTCCATCTCATCATTGTTTCTTGCAATGCATGTTGTTAACAATGCCCCTATTATGGCCAACCCATGTTTAAACATAATGGAGGGATCAGATTTTGAACCCTGCTTTATGGTGACCCTCGTTTTGAGTTGGCTGTGGGGAATAGACTCATCTTTGGTGAATTCCTTTGGGTCAACAGCCTGAATCACCTGAAAGGCTTAGCTGGGTCATTGGTCTGGAGCAGGGATTTTGAGTGCATCCCAGGCCACATCTCCCACTCTGTGCCAGAACCTGCTTACAGAACTGTGCTGAATATCTTGAGGATCTTATTGGGGGTTGCCTTTGAGAGAGCTGAGCACGAGTTCTTGTTTCAGTGCCTTGTAGCCTAAAACTCTTCCCTATTAGAAAGCGCCTCAGGAACTCTGTGTTTCAGCTGCCTGCAAGTCATTTGTAGCTGTTGATGTTGAGCCGTGCGTAAGGATGGTGGTTCCTCATGGGGCTGCGAGCTGCATAAAATTGTAAATCACCCTTTTGGAGATGGGGCAGCCCTCTGGCTGAGGCGTTGCAAAATGTCCCTATCCGTAGAGCGCCACGAGATCCCGAGAGCTGAGCTGCGCCGGGTTCACCCACCTGGGCAGCATGATTAACTCCTAAGCTTTCCTGTCTGTGTGCAGCGAGTTATCTGGGGACACCGAGCTGCACTCTGCTGCCTCTCGTTATTCAATGAGTGCCCTTGGCAGGACAGAGGTCCCTGCCTGCCACAGAGAACTGAACCAAAGGGGATCCTGCTGCCGTTTTGGGAAAGCTTGGTCTGATCTCGTTGGATTTTCAAGGCTGTGCCCTACCGTGCTGCCGGGCAGTTGGGGTTTCAGTGGTAGGTTTTTCCTTCTTGCAGTTTTTCTTTCTACCTCTGAGCCTCTTCTCATCTCACACAGTGTGATGGGGTTGATTATGGGACTTCTCTAACGTTTATAAGGGCTGGGCTCCATTAAGTCTGAATAATTACACGAGCATGATGGTGTGGGTGTGATACCATCTGTGTGTCATGGGGTGGGAGATTGTCTTTTACCCTATCCCTGGCTTTCTTGCAACCATCATCTTCTACCCTAGCAACCATCTTCCTTCTCCCCCTGCCCCCCACCATCATCTTCTGGAGGTTGGTGGCCTTGCCTGTGTCCAGGAGGTTAAGACTTTGTGATCCTTCAGGTCCTATGCCATTCTGTGATTCCGTGATGATCCTTTCTTCACCCCTACCCCTCACTGTCTTCCTTTGCCCCTACCCAACATCACTTTTGTTTTCCCTTACCCACCATTGTCTTCCAGAGGTTGGTGGCCATGCCTGTGGCAGGACAGTTGGAACTTAACGATCTTTGGGGTTCCTTCCAACCCAAGCCATTCTATGATAATTCTTCCTTCCTCCCACCCACCATCTTCCCTCTTACCATTGCCTTCTTCAATCCTTGACTTCCCACGAGAACCAAAGGACCCTGGAAGCTCCGCCACGTCTCCACCCATATCCAACACAACCCCTTTATGGCCCGCACCACGACGCTCAACCGCACTAACCCCGTTCCTTGGCAGAACAGCGTTCCCTCATCGCTCTCACCTTTCTCCTTTGTGTCTCCGCAGGCCTCGTGCAGATCCCCGTCAGCATGTACCAGACCGTGGTCACCAGCCTGGCGCAGGGCAACGGCCCCGTGCAGGTGGCGATGGCACCGGTCACCACACGGATAGCAGACAGCGCCGTCACCGTGGATGGGCAGGCGGTGGAAGTGGTGACTTTGGAACAGTGACCATAACCCTCAGCGGGATCACGATGATTTATTTTTATTTTTTTGAGGGGTTTTTATTTTTTTTTTTCCTTTTATTATTTTTTTTTTCTTTTTTTTTTTTTTTTTTCTTTTTTTTTTTCTCCTCGTCTCTTAATGCGAATAAAATTTTTTTACGCCTATCCGGAGATGCAATCAGGTGGCACTGAGTCTTTCGGAAGCAAAAGTGTTTTGCTGACCGTTTTTAACGAAGAATAACGAAGGATGCGTGTGTTAAGTGTGTCTTTACAGCACCACTGATCACACTGGAGCGAGAAGCCCAACGCAGATGGGACTTCCATTCTGAAGAGATGAGAAAGGAGAGAAAAAAAAGCCACACGCACACGCAAAAAAAATACAACTCCTTGCGCCCCTTTTCTTCCCACAACAGAGCATGGATGCTCCCACAGGGGGTGAATTAGGTTTCGAAGATTTTAACGTGGACTTTTATATGAAAAAATTAAAAAAAAAAAAAAAAAAAAAAAAAAAAAGGAAAGTAAAGAAAAAAAAAATAATAACGAAACTCGGGCAAGGCTCTTCTTGGGAAAATGCATTTGTGACTGTGGGGACAGCTCTCAAAGCTGCCGGTCCCGGAGCCCCGTGCGGGCGCGAGGACAGCTCGATGACCGCCGTGCTTGGCTCCCCTGGTGCACACTGGAGACACATTCTTCTTTCTCTGCTCTGGAAACCCTGCCATTTCAATTCTTTTGTTCTTGTTTTTTGTGATTTTTTTTTTTTTTCTCTGTATTATTATTATTATTATAATTATTATTTCCTCTTCTTGTCGATTTGGAACGGAGCGGAAATGCCTCCGGAGCTGTGCCGGGAGGGCTGCGGGGACGCGGGGACAATATGACCAGCACTTGCCCCGATCCTTTGCCAAAGAGCCACAACCCCACCGCCAACCCAGGACACTTGGAAACCCCATTTCAACCCTTTTGGGGAGCCCCTCTGGAGCCACGTGCCAGCCCTGCTCCTTGAGCATCTCCTACTGCTGCCACCCAACTCAACCCAACCCAACCCACGTCACCCAACGTCTCCCAGAGGAGGGGACAGCCCACGGGGGCATTTTGGGGACAGATCCTCCAGGACTTTTCAATGGGACAAAAGCACCCCGGAAGCCCCCCGTGGTGCGTGCTGGTTGTGTGTGGTATTTAATATTTTTTTTAATTATTGTTATTTTCAAGTGGCCATTAACGAAGTTCTCCGCGTCTTTGCTCCGCCTTCAAGGAAGTTTTCAGATTCTTGTATTTACTTGTTTTATAAGGAAAATATCAAATGCTCTTTGTATACACTTCTTCTGTACTTTAAACGAGGGGAGGGAAATATTTCCATAGAAACAGCCCTGGTTTCTCCAGTTTGTTATTATTATTTTTTAATTATTATTTTTTATCGTCGTTGTGAAGATGTCGGTGGCTTTCAGGTCCGTGTTCCTTGGGCGGTGCGATGACATTCTTTTAGTCCCAGCAGTCCCCTTTGCCCTCCCCCCAAAGAGACAAAACCAGGCAAGTAGCAGAGCATGGACCCCTATTGTTTTCCCAGTGTCTATTATTCAATAAATTGTTACAAATGTGTCTACCCACCCTTCTCACTTCTCTTTTGGGGGCTTTTTTGAGGGTTTTGGGGTAACTCGCCATCTCCCCCCAGGCTCTCGGAGGGGGTCCCCGAAGTGGTTTTGGATTTGGGGGTGGTTTTTGAGTTGAAGTCCTTCCTTTGAGCTATTTAAGCTTCATCCTTCGTGTGCTTCCATCAGCACCACGGTGAGCGGCGCCCCAAAAGCGACCATTGGAGTCGACTCCGTGCCATGGTGGGATCAAGGCCACCTCATCCCCGCTGTGCCCCCATTATCCCCATCGTTTGAGCATCCCAAGGAGGAGCCGGACGGCAGCACTGAGGTTGAGCAGCTTTATTTGAGCATGGGGGGCAGGACCGTTGGCTCCGACGTGATCATGTAGGATCCTCTGTAAGATCAGAGCCCAGTTCTTGCAAGCCTGAAGACAAAGTGGAGTGGAGGATGGATGGAAGGACAGATGGAAGCAAAGGAGGATGAGGCACAGGGGGAGCGATCCCAAAGTCAATCTCAAAGCAATCCGAACGTCCCAGCCCTGCTCTATGGGAAGCGGGTTGGTCCCCTCCAGACTGGGGTTCCCCAATGGGCTCATGGTGGGGGCTCAGCCTGGCAGACGTTGTCCCCAGCCTTTAATCTGTGCTAATCAGGCTTTAATAAGCAGGTCGGGGCCTCCTGCTGGGGCAGCTCACCCAGCACACGACACTTTTATTCCCTTCCATCTCAGGGAGCCCAGCCTTAGGCTTGGGGAAGATCCCTGGGTTTTGAGAGGGTCTGAGTTTTAGAGAGTCTCTCCAACCCTGGGTGGCCCACGCTGTGACCCAGCTGGGTTTGCTGCCTTTATCTTTAGCCCCAGTGCTGCACTGTGCACAGCAACCCCAAATCACAGGATTTGACCTCAAAAACTCTGCTGTCTCTGGGAAGGGACATATTTTAACGGGGGTCTCTGGGGTGATGCCCACCAGTGTTTGGGTGCTGGGGGATCCCATGTGCCTTCTGGTGATTGCTGGGGGTGGGGACTATGGGGATGGGTGGGGTTTTTGTTGGGGTGGGGCTTGTTGGAAGGTGGGGCTGGAGAGGATGCTCCACCTCTGATCCCCTCGAGGGAAATGTCAGAGTTTGAGCCCCGGGGACATGGATGGGCAGATGGATGCTTTGATGGATGGACAAGATGGACAGGGTCAACAGCCTGATGAATGGATGGACAGAAGGACAGACTCATAGAAGGCTCAGTGGCTGTCTGGATGAATGGACACATTGGTGGAGGGATCAGTGGATGGATGGACGGACAGACGGACTCAGGGCTCAGTGTCTGTTGGGATGGATGGACATAAGGACTCACAGAAGGCTGGCTGGCTGGATGGATGGACAGATGGACAGATGGACTGATGCAGGGCTCAATAGCTGTTGGGATGGATGGACAGACGGGTGATTTGGTGGATAGATTGACAGTGATAGAGGGACCAGTGGCTTGACAGGTGGACAGATGGACAGACAAAAAGACTTGCAGAGGGCTCGAAGGGTGTCTGGATGGATGGGCAGACAGACAGATGAACGGACAGACCAGCAGATGGAGCAGTGGTTGGACTGATGGATAAATGGCTGGACAGACAGACAGACTGGTAGATGGAGCCACAGCAGGCTGGTTCGATGGATGGATGTGGGGATGGGCGGATGGATAGGCAGCTAGATGCATGGCTCAGTGACCGGACAGACAGACAGGGGGTGGGTGGGTGACCTTACTGATGATAGCTGAGTGGATGGATGGAAGGACAGACAGACTGATATATGGCTGGACAGATGGATGATGGAAGCAACAAGCAAACAGACAGAGAGACAGACAGCCTGTGCCCCCTCCCCACACTCCCACCCGCCCCACTAGGCAATGTGGACCCCCCATCCATCTCCATCCTTCCTTCCGTTCATCCCTCCCCCGGCGCAGTGAGGAGGTTGGAAGCGTGCAGCCTTCACTCTAATCCCACATGATCCAATCTCTGCAGGCTTATGGCCGAAAGCTCTGTAATCACCCGGCGCTGCCCTACATATCCCCACCACCCCCCATCCAAACCCAGTCAGGAGCAAGGAACCCCCCCCCCCCCACCCCACTGTGCAAACCCCACCCTCCACCACCCCTCCCCAAAATGCTGTCATCGTCCCTCCTGCACTTGGGAACAGGCAGAGACAAATGGCAGTGGGGACACGCGGCAGCATCGCTCATGCCTCAGTTTCCTTCCCACCCCATAAGCTGGCACTGGCAAGATGTGGGGCAGGAGCCACCTAATCCACCCCCCCTCCTCATGTCGCAGGGATGGATCAGCGCTTAATGCCTGGAGTCAAGTGGGGACACAAGGCCAAGATGCTCCAATGACCGCTTTACAGCAGGACCCTCCCCTCTATGAGGACATTTCCATGGTTGCCCCCCAAACCCTCCAAAAAACAGCACATCTGGAACCCAAACCCACTGTCCCTATGGCTGAGCACCCCTTAAAGATCTGGACTTGGAACGCACAAATGGAGCAGGACGCTGTAACAACCCCCTCCCTACAACCATGGGCGCTGGGGGGATCAGGGGGGTTGTGTCCGTGGCGTTTCCCGGGGCTGTAGTTGGCAAGTCTAGAACCACCGGATCCTGCGAGCGCACCAGTGTGAGTTCTACCATTGCCAAAAGCAGCCAGGACGGGAAGAAGGCAGTGGTGGGCTTGGGAAGCTGCAAAAAGAAACCCAACCCCAACCCCAACCCCAACCCCAAACCAAAAATTAAAATTGAAATTTAAAAAAAAAAAAGAGAAGGGAAGATATCCCAGTTCCACCCCCAGGAAGTCCCTCCTGGGACTGAACATCATCCCAAAGCTGCATCGCAGATGCTCCATGTGCTGAAAACCCCATGCCATCATCATTCAGATGTGCATCATATCCCCCCAAAAGGACCCAGTTGATGTGAATTCCCCACTCCTTGTGTAGGACCCCAGGATGAAAGCACCAAAATTTTAGGTTTCTATCTCTCCAAGGCTTTCCTTGCCCTTACAATCCCAAATCCACCCCAAAGCCATCCCTCCATAACCAAATCTTTCCATCCATTGTCAAATCAATCCATTCAACACCAAGTCCATTCATCACAAACCCATCCAGTCATCACCAAATCCATCCATCCATCCCCAGTCCATCTCTCCATCATCAAATCCATCCATCACCAAATCCATCCATCCCAAATCCATCCATCCATCCCCAGTCCATCCATCCATCATCAA